AAACGGTGAAATTTGCTATGATCAAATGGGCACAAGATGTTGGACATAACATAATGATGGCTGACTGGGAACAGTTATGGACCACAGGTATGACGTTTACGGCATGTAATGCCTTAAGAGAGAATATTATGAAAATGATATACAGGTGGTACATGACACCAGTCAAGCTTGCAAAAATCTATCATTTGCCCGATAATAAATGTTGGAAATGTAAAGAAACTGAAGGTACATTCTTTCACCTTTGGTGGACGTGCCCAAGGATTAAGGCTTTCTGGGAGATGATTTATAATGAAATGAAAAAGGTATTTAAATATACCTTTCTGAAGAAACCAGAGGCCTTTCTCCTGGGCATGGTTGGCCAATTGGTGTTAAAGAAGGATAGAACCTTCTTTATGTATGCCACAACAGCAGCAAGAATACTTATTGCAAAGTACTGGAAGACACAAGATCTACCCACCTTGGAAGAATGGCAGATGAAGGTGATGGACTATATGGAGCTGGCGGAAATGACTGGCAGAATCCGAGACCAGGGAGAAGAGTCGGTGGAAGAAGATTGGAAGAAATTTAAAGACTATCTACAGAAATATTGTAAAATTAATGAATGTTAGAATGATGTCGGAATGAAGTTAAGTGGTTTTTAGCGGTAATATTATAAAGGAATACGTAAAAATGGTTGTCGACAGGTGAGAACCTAAAGCTATAATATATTAAGATAAAGGATTAAGATAAAAATAAAGAGGAAAAGGATTTGCTGAATTAATTAATTGAACTGGAATACAAAAAAGGGAGGTGTGAGGAGGTCAGGGAAACAAGTAAATGAAAGACAAGATTTGGATTGTATGTTTTCTTTTTTCTTTTTCTTTTCTTTTTCTTTTTGTAATATTTGGAAACTTTAATAAATATCTTTTAAAAAAATAAAAAAATAAAGCACCTGACTTCCCCCAAAGAATCATGGCGACTGTAAATTGATTCTTTAGGCAAAGCCATGTGCTTTAAATAGGCTGCTCCTTTTTTTCTTTTTCTTTTTTTGGAACAGAGTCCATGTTATGATGGAACAGGCACCCTCTAGCGGTACTTTCCAGATTGTTGTTTTGAGGAACATTTCCAGCTGCAGGAAAAGGTTTCTGAGGACTGAAATCATGCTCTGTTTTCAGGAAACGAATTGTACCTCAGTGATCGATCTAGTGCCAGATTTACGTATAAGCTAAACAAGCTATAGCTTAGGGCCCCACTCTCTTGGGGGCCCAAAAAAAATTTTAAAGGGGAAAAAGCCACAATGTACATTTCCAAAATATAAGATAAAAAACAAATAAAATAAAACCTACATACAGCAACAGTGTTTTATGTTGTGTAGGCTCCTATGATGTAAGTCATGGGCCCCGCCTGCTAGCCTGCTCCCTAAAATATCACCGATTTGCTTATTTCCATATATAGGGTGCCTATATTCTGCATGGACTGGTTGCATGGCAACATGTGCAAATGGCATTAGATACCTATTAGGTCCATAAATTACCATATAGCGTATATTCAACACACAAAAACAGCAACAATTTGTTGTTGACAAAGGACAGCTGGACATATAAAGGGCCCCATTACCTTCAGTAGCTTAAGGCCTCATCCATGAAGATAGTCCCTGCTTCCAACTGCAGCATCTCCAGGTGGGACTGGGAATGCCCTGTCTGAAACTCTGGAGAGCTGCTGTCAGACATTGTAGGCAACACTGAGCTTGATGTTCTAGTGGCCTGACTCTGTATAAGGCAGATTCCGATGTTCCTAGAACTGTCAGAGTAAAGGAAGACAATACATCCAATCAATAGAATTGAAAGGGACCCAGACAGATCTATCCTCATTACCAAGTAACAATTCTCTGTTTATGCTCATGAGGAGCTTTGCTGGATGTTGTGACTACTGATCTGGGGTCTCCTCTCCCCTGAGCATTTAGCATGTTCCTCCAAATCTGGAAAGAAGAAGTTCCTCAGTCTTCTTCCAGCTGCTGGAGTGTCATTGGCCAATTGCTTCTGGCTTCTGGAATGTTCCAACTTCAACATGAACAGGTGAGGTTCAACACGACCCACTTAAGCCTGTGGCTTCCTGGCACCTCACCGCAGAGTACTTGAGTGGAACATCCAAATCCAAGAACAGTTTGACCTAAAGCTGGATGAATCATTCATTCCAAACATGGCGAGTCCGCAGGAACATTCCATTCCTGATCCCAACAGGCCTCCTGCAGCCAAATAATCTCTCTCTCTCTCTCTCTCTCTCTCTCTCTCTCTCTCTCTCTCACACACACACACACACCCCTTGACTGGTGGAGGTTGTTCCTTCTTTTTGGCCACTAGAGGGAGAAGGAGACAATGAAACTTGGAGAACAGTTCCAACATAAAAGAGTGCCAAACCAAATTACTCTATGTCTCTTGGAAATAAATCGCTCCATCACAGTTAACATAGTTTATTATTCTTTCGTTTATTCATTCAATCAATCATTAAATTGGTATAACGCCTTTCATCTGAAGAACACAGGGCAGTTCCCATCATCTAATGGCCTAATGACACAAAAAGACCTCTGCTGGGTCAAGCCAAGGGTCCATCTAGTCCTGTATTCCATACCCTCCAACATTCCTCAGATGAAAATAGGGACATTTCTCCCTCCCCCCAATTGACTCTCCTCAACTCACCACTCTTCCGTGTGTGTCCCCCCCACCAACAGAGCATTTCCTGTCAGAAGAAGTGCTGACACTGCTTCACAAACAGGACATAGGACACATGCCCTCCGCAATCTTGAGGGAAAACCCTAAATCCAAATTTTATTATATTTTATTCCAGGCATAGGCAAACTCCGGCCCTCCAGATGTTTTGGAACTACAATTCCCATCATCCTTAGCTAACAGGACCAGTTTGAAATCATGTAACCCTCTCAAAAGCACTCAAAAGCACCCTCTCAAAACCCTTTAAACACCCTCTCTGCAGCTCTCTCTTCAATCCGTAACAAAAATACTGTATCCAAAAATATTCACAACCAGAATTGAAGCTCTGGGGCTGGCAGGAGGCTGGAGGATGTGCAGGAAAGCAGCTGCTGCTGCACCACCCCACACACCAGCTGTTAGGCAGGGAGGCGAAGCAGCCTAAACAAAGCCCCGCTGAACCTCAGGTCTCTTTGGGGCTTCCTTTGCCCTCACTGACATACTCTTCGGGCTCTGCAGAGGTTCTCCTCATGAACCACAAGGACTCTCCAGCTCGCTTCCACAATTTCTGGGTTTGAATTCGATTATTTAGTTATTATTTTATTATTTCCTGGTGCCACATGAATACACTGAGCGATACACCAGATGTGCTGCCTTTTCCTTCCCCCTGTGCTGTCTCCTAAATTGCTGAGATTTCCCATAGCCTAGCTCTTTGCTCTTCCCCTTTCCTTTTACCTCTCCTCTATCATGCATTCCTTCCTCTCTGATTGGAATGTGCTGGCTTTGATCTTCCAGCCGGTTGAGCATGTGTGGGTTTTTCCTTTGGACCCGCCCTGCCCAGACTCTTCTGGTCAACTCACCTCTAGAGCATGAGCAGAGCATAACAGAAGAACTTAAAGTAGTCTGCTGGATTAGGCCAATGACTCATCTAGTCCAGCATCCTGTTCTCACAGTTCCCCAGATCCCTCAAGAAGGAACCCTCAAGAAAGACTCCAGCACATCTGTGGTCCCTGAAGCTGAAGTATTACTGCTGGCTAAGCCAGGTGAGAGTGGCTATTGGTGCTCTAACCCTCTGTGAGTTAGGGACTTATCCTGCATGCAAAGACAGGCTCTGGCAGATGGACTGAAGGTCCAGTGGGTCCAGTGGTCAAGAAGGCTGTTTCTGCATGTGCTGTAGAGGGAAGTGAGGGGGAGGTGGAACTGGTCAATGTGGCAAGGAGAAGGAAAACTCTCATCCTAAACCTCCACTGCCTTCTGGGATATCTTCAGGAGAAGAAAAGGCTAAGGAGTAAAACCTATACAAATCCAGATTGGAGACCCTTAGATGATAGGATGGTGCCTAATATGCCTCCTTCTGGCAGCCAAGCTGGTGCCATACTGCTCTGCTTTCCTGTGGACCACATCAGTGAGGCAGACAGGGGAGTCTTGTCATCTGGGCAGCCTGAGACCACAATGCGCACTGCCCAGTCTTGCGAGCCAGGGAGGTTGCTTTGTTGTTGCTAACACAGCAAATTTACTTCACCTCGGAGGTGCACTCTCAAGACACACAGATGCCAACTGCCCCTTAGTGTGGAGGTACAGCACAGTCATCATGGCTAGCAACTATTGGTAGCTTTCTCCTCCATGAATTTTCCCATGAATTTTAAAGTCATCCAGGTTCTTGGCCATCTTTGCCTTCTGTTCCAGATTTTAACTGTGCTGCCCTGAATATTGCAACATTCATCTTTATTGAATGTCCATGAGTTCTAGTGCTATGGGGGGGGGGGACTTTTTTCTAACTGCTGCACCAGCCAGCTGCTCCTGACAGTGATTTTATTACTGCATTGTGGGAGGTTGTTTTTTTTTAAAAAAACTTTGGTTGGGATAATGTTGGGACTTCCTTAGCAGGAGGTGGTACACAAATTTAATGAAGCTGAACTTAAAAGAGGCATGTGCCAAACGGATTATGACAATGGAATTCGGGTGGCAGAAAAAGACATCATAGATGTGTTGATTTTGAGATAAGCTTTATTCTCTCCCATGCATTAAGGGAGATTGAAACAAGGAAATCAGCAGCAGTGGGTGGATGAGGAAACACCCATCCACCACAAACACACACACACATTCATAAATTACATTGAAGAATGAGCCACACGTTGAACATTAAATGCTATTGAAGAATGAAAGTGCAAAGCAACATGCAGAAGTGTCCTGGGTTTAACATGTCGTTGTCAGGATGCTGATGCGAGCTAGCAAAGTTAGCTTTTCTTGGGTTGCTTGGCAAATGTTGCAGTTTACTTGATGCTTGGCAATGGACAGACCTGCTTCGTTTGCCCAATGCATGGAGGGACGACAATGGGGCACTTGGTCTGCGAGGATCCACCACCAGATCCACCGCTGCTGCAACAGACTGCTCCGCCACTGCCGCTGCTGCAGCACACAGCTCCGCCACTGCCACTGCTGCAGCAGACAGCTCCGCCACTGCCACCACCACTGCTTCCACCAGGTACAACAATGGTTTTCCCACTGCCGCCACATCCTCCACTGGATCCTCCTCCAATCACCTTAACCCCACCCGAGCTCCCACCACCGGATGAGCTACAACAAACAGCACCACCACCGCCACTGCCGCCAGATGAGCTGCAACATACTGCACCACCACTGCCACCGCTAGCTCCACAGCAAACCCCTCCAGATCCTCCACCAACAACTACGGGGATCTTTTGCTGGCCACCTCCATATCCACCACCCATTCCACCTCCAACACAACACCCAGAAGACTGGCCACTGCCACCGGATGATCCACAGCACACTGCGCTGCCGCTACTGGCTCCACAGCAAACCCCTCCAGATCCTCCGCCAACAACCATTGGGATCTTTTGCTGGCCGCCTCCATATCCACCTCCATATCCACCTCCGCTTGGTATAATGATGACTCCGCCAGACTGTCCGCCATATCCTCCTCTGCCGCAGCCTCCGCCACCACCTCCAGAGCAGCAGCAGCAGCCGCCCCCTGAACCGCCGCAGCAGCAACAGCCACCCCCGCTTTGTTTTTGCTGGCTCATCTTTTGGCTTTTGTGTGGTGCGTTAGACCTGGAAAGTGGACAAAGCATAGTTAATGCACACTGCTGGCTGCAATGCTCATTTCTCAAAAGGCCTCATTCTCATGGTGGTCAATTTGTGTTCAGGATGCAGCACCAGAGAGTACAGGTGGTGATGTGTTGGATCACATGGTTGAATGCATGCATGCGTACATAAATACACACACAAACACACCACCTTACTCCATATTTTCATCCGAGGAATGCTGGAGGGTAGGCCATTTGGGTAATGGTCACAAAGAGACGCAGGTGGAACAAGGAGCCTGACCCAGGTGAAAACAGGAAGCGGGGGGAAGAAGGCCATAAGCTGAAACTCAACATGTGAAGAGACACTGGCCCCTACTGGGATTCAGCCAAGCAGCAGACCCCACCACCTGCACTCGCACTGAACCTCAGCCCCAGCTCTGCCGCTATCCCTCTATCCCGCTAACCCCAACTAACCATAAAAGGCTGTTTATTTCCTAGTGTACCGTTCTTTCCCAGGGCCATTTTTCAAGCAGACCATTTCCCCTCCCTCATTCACAGATTCCATGCCTTGCCCCAGGATCCAAATTATTTTCCCCACCTCTTCTCAGGTTACTTGGCAGTTTCCCCTACATGAAAGTCACTGTTGAAACAAAGGATTCTTATCACAGAGGATCCTTCCATTAGGTGATCCTTGCCTTGTGCTTTGAATTGGTGCCACCCAGTGACCAATTGACCACCTCTGGTATCCCTAGCTTTAACTCTCTTGTTTTCTGTACTTTCTGTACTTTCTGTACTTTCTGTACTTTCTGTACTTTCTGTACTTTCTGTACTTTCTGTCTTCCACAGTACTACCTGGTTGGTTGCCAGCTAGCAAGCCAAACCATATTTCTGGTGTAGATATTGGAGGCCAGATAATGTGAATGACATGGCTGGCCCTGCAAACTGGGCATGGATGTATAAGGCCTCTTCTGGGAACAATTCCTCAGTGAACCTTTCTCTGACAGATTTATCCCTTGATAATCATAAAGGATTAAATTGTCTCTTGGAACAGGTTTAGGTAAGGATGCAATCTCTGGCTTAGCTGCAGCTATCATTCAAGCATTGCTGTTGGGGAGGACACACCAATTCATTTGCTGTGATCTCAGCTGCTCAGGTGCCATCACCCACCCCCAAATACAACAATCTTCTGCATGTTTGTGGATACAGTAGCTACACTGCATGCCTGTATTTCACCTCCAAACCTTAGCAGCAAATACCGTATTTTTTGCACCATAACACTCACTTTTTTCCTCCTAGAAAGTAAGGGGAAATGTATGTGCGTGTTATGGAGGGAATGCCTACGGGTGGCGGTGGGGATCTGCTGCAGTCGTGAGCAGAGGATCTATGGTTCCCCTTCCTTCCCTCTTCTGAGGCTTGCTTTGAAACAGCAAAGCGGGAGAAGAGCCGCTGAGTGGGGAGGAGAGAGGGACAGAGAGCTTGCTTCTTTAAAGGAGCAAAGCGGGAGAGGAGAGGAGGCGCTTACACGAGTGTAAGCAGCTCCTGTCCGGTTGGTTCCTTTAAAGCAAGCAGGCTCTCTGTCCCTCTCTCCTCCCCACTCAGCTCACTACATAGCAGCAAAGTTTTTCAGCTCGCTAAGCTGGGGATGAGCGGGGAGGAGGAAGAAAAGCAGAGCCTGCTTGCTTTAAAGGAGCAAAGTGGGAGAGGAAAGGAGCCTTCTCCCCTTAAACCCCTCTCCTGCATTATTAGCAGCATCCTTCTCCACACACCCCATGCGTATTCCTTCTCCCCTTAAACCCCTCTCCTGCATTATTAGCAGCATCCTTCTCCACCCACCCCACGCGTGCTCCTTGTCCCTTGAGTGCTTTTCCTTCCCTCCCCACTTAAAACGTGGTTACAAAGCACAGATCCACATGGATCCTCAGGATTTTTGCATTGGGTCACCCCAAATTCACCATCAGATCACATGTCTGTGGCCACAGCATGAACCACAAAAATCATACATCCACTGTTTCCTTTAGAATATTTTTTTTCTTGTTTTCCTCCTCTAAAAACTACGTGCGTGTTATGGTCAGGTGCGTGTTATAGAGCGAAAAATACGGTACATATACAGTGGTACCTCGGATTACATACGCTTCAGGTTACAGACTCCGCTAACCCAGAAATACTACTTCGGGTTAAGAAATTTGCTTCAGGATGAGAACAGAAATCATGCTTCGGTGGCGCGGCGGCAGCGGGAGGCCCCATTAGCTAAAGTGGTGCTTCAGGTTAAGAACAGTTTCAGGTTAAGAACGGACCTCCGGAACGAATTAAATTCTTAACCCGAGGTACCACTGTACCCAGAAACAAATCTGGGCTCCTTTGTGCCCTAGGTATGGAGCTGTATTGGCGCCCTCATGAAAAGAAAAAAACCATGTTGTCATCATAAATGACTCTCAAATGGGACATTTAACAGAACAAGCCTATAAATGACTACTCAAAGGCAAAGCCCACAGAGTTCAATGGGGCTTACTCCCAGGAAACTGGGTGCACAGGACTGCAGCCTAAATCTGGCAAGCCAGAGACAGAACTTCTGGCCATATTTCAACTGCCTCTTTGTTACCTTTGACAAGGTGCCAGCAGAAAGGCACTAAATTTGAGATTCCACACTTTTGTCAGAAGAAAGTCCCACTTAATTCTACGGTCCCTATTTCCCTGGCAAACTTGCAGCGGTGTGAGTGTACTGGAAATTGGCCAAAGCGGGAAAGAAACAAGGGAAAGCGACTCGGCTATAGTAAATTAAGAGGCTCTCCCGACATTTCTCAGCCAGGACATCAACTGAAAGGCTGCTCTCAATGCAAGTAGGGAGAGTGGAGTGTGGGAAAAGCAGGCATTCTAGGATGTATGGCCCTGTAATGGAAAGCCACACTGCGCAAGCTAACCACCAGCTTTGCCAGCCAGCTGGGGAAGGGACTCCACAGGGCTCCTGTGATGGCCCGTGCAGGCAGCCAGATTCGTCCTCCGAAGTGCCAACGGAGGCAAAATTTTGTGCACCCACAGTCTGGGCCCTGGGTGGGGGCAACCTAGCCAGCCACTAGGTATTTCCCTGCCTGGACTAGAGAACAGAAGAAGAACTCTCAACAGATTCTCCTGTTCCTCATTTAAATCTGGAAGGATGACCCTCTCCCTCCATTGATTGTAAGGAAATCTATACTGTATCAAGAATCCAAATCAACCCTTTGCACCACGATCCTACAAAATGAATAGCATATTGGTCTAAGCTGCAGATGGTTCCGTGCATTAAAGAGAAGGAAGATTATCAAGGATCTAAGCCTTGAACTTACCTCGTTGGACAAATGTGGCAGAATGCAGGAAACGTCGCAATGGATTCGAGTGATGAGCTTGCAAACCAGAGCTCCTCTTTATACCCATTTTCTGGCCGCTCCTATGGGAAGTGAGGCACCCCAGGAATGGTGAGTGACACAGCTAGAATCTCCCTTAACAACCGGCCTCATCAATCCCAAGATGTCAGACACGTCATAGGAGATCCATATCTCTCTTTTGTATCACTCGCTATTTTTATGGGACGTAAACAGCTTAATGAAGGTGCTACACCTAATGAGTAAGTTCCTGCTTTGTAGCGGTGCCTCACATATTTGTGGGGGCTCTTGATGGGTGACATATGCAAGGACTGGTTTTCTTTACGAGAGAGGGTAGCTTCTAACAGGTTTAGGCAAATCAGGAAAATTAGACAAATTACCAACATGGTTTTTTCCCCCTCACCGGAACTCAGTTCCTGCACCTCTTAGGTGGGTGCCAAGCTATTCTAAGAGAACGAGGGTGGTGTTCGTGGCGAGTTCCAGCACCTCTTTTTTACAGAAAAAAAAAAGCACTGGTTATTACAGTGGTACCTTGGGTTACATACGCTTCAGGTTACATACGCTTCAGGTTACAGACTCCGCTAACCCAGAAATAGCGCTTCAGGTTAAGAACTTTGCTTCAGGCTGAGAACAGAAATTGGGCTCCGGCGGCGCGGCAGCAGCAGGAGGCCCCATTAGCTAAAGTGGTACCTCAGGTTAAGAATAGTTTCAGGTTAAGTACAGACCTCTGGAAACAATTAAGTACTTAACCCGAGGTACCACTGTACTGCACTTATTTTTCCATAAGTTAAGAGACAGCAGTAGTGTGATATTTAGAATGTTGGACTAGGACCTGGGAAACCACGGTTCATATCTTCACCCAACTCTGAAGCTCAGTAAATGTGGCCTTGGGCCAGTCACCACCTCGCAGCCTAGGCTACCTCACAGGGCTGTTGAGGGGATGGAATGAGGAGGGTGAGGAGCTTGTAGGCCACCCTGAGCTCCTTAGAGAAAAAGGAGATATATAGATGCAACCAACTAATCAATCAAATCTCTTCCCTGCCATTTCTATGCTAATCTGCATTAAGAAAGGAAAAAGAAAAAGTAGATTTGCTGTTAAACACATTAGGTTGTACCCTATTAGATTCTGCTTAGATTAAACCTGTTGAAAACAGAGGGCATAAATTTAGTCATTAATATCGGTTGGTATACTCTGAATATGACTAACATTGGATTCTCTGAAGCAAAGGATATGTTCACACATTTCACAGAGCGCAAGTGCCAGCTGCTTCTACACGCGTACACTTGTGTGAAAGAGTGTACACTTGTTAATTTGTATGGCTCAACAACTGTGTACACAGATAAATTGCCTGTGCACTAATTAAATGTTGCATATATGTGTGCAGACCAACTGTTTGTGTGCGTGGTTACACAGATTGTGCGGACAACCCTAATGTCCTCAGAAAGACATAGCAGGTCAAGCTACTTCTAATATAGTATGAATCTGAAGTGGGATAATATGAAATGGACACATACAGTTTAATTGGGTATTTTTAGAACTGTGCCAGACCCGGTTATGACTTGAAGCCTGATTGAGCCTCCAGTGGCCCCAGTCTGAACCAGGATGATCTGGGGCTGACCAGATCCAGATCCCAAAGCTGAACCAAACTGGCAGGGGGGTCTTACACAGTTTTAATTAGGGTTTGACTCCCTAATTAAGCATGTGAAGGTGGTGACACAGCCTGTTTCTTAGTCTCTGACTCTCCTGCTGTTTAACAGTCCTAAATCACTCCAGCTGGACATGATCTGACCCAGGCTGATTTGTGGTTTCCTCAACATTCTCTGGCTGAATCTCAACTTGATCTAAACCGGTCCAATTCAGTTCGAGATCTGGGATCACAGCCACGCATTAAGGCTTTTGAATAACAGTTGCTCGAAATCACAGGAGGGGAGAGCGCTGTTGCACTCATGTCAATCTTCCACAAAACAAAAAGAGAACGTGGTAAGAGGATAGGACATTGAGTTTTTGCTTACATAATTCACATTGTCATCGAAAATATATGTATTGTGCTCATTGCATGTCCCCCAAGCATATTTTCCAAAGATTAATGAGATACGTAGAAAGTTAATTTGGGATAATGGTCCACTTCCTTTTGATTTGAGAGAACGCAGCTGCCAATAACAGAAGGAGGTTATTCCAGAAATTGCTTTATATTTTATTAGTTTAGCCAGTGTGGTGTGGTGGTTGGAGTGTTGGAATAGGACCTGAGAGACCAGGGTTCAAGTCCCCACTCAGTCATCAAGCTCATCACTCGAAGGATTGTTGTGATCATAAAATGGGGATGGGGAGAACTACATACAACCTTGAGCTCTTGGGAGGAGAAGTGGGATGTAAAAGCTATACATAAATAAATGGAATAAAAAATATCCCACAAAGCATATAGAAATGATTGGCAAATGCTTACTTTTATTGGGTAACTTTAGAGATGGCTTACTTAACCCCCCCTCTTTGGTCCTTTGTTGGACCTTCACCACTTTCAATTTTAGCAACTAGAGAGATTTCGCATATCTCAATAGCTACCATTTGAGCCACATACACTAAATTAATCCAGATTTGTAATTCTGGATTTGTAATCCAGAAAATGTAATCCAGATTTGAAGAGAGAGACAACCTTTATGTGGAAGAAATGGGCTGAATATGAGATGCCTACATTAGATCTGCTGTTTAGATGCATTTTTTTTGTCATTTCCTGATTTGCAGGAATGACTGGCAAGTGCAAAATATAAATACAGTGGTACCTTGGTTTAAGAACAGCTTAGTTTATGAACAACTTGGTTTAAGAACGCTGCAAACTCGGAAGTAGATGTTTTGGTTTGTGAACTTTGCTTTGGAATAAGAACATGTTTCACTTCCTGTTGAGTGTGTTCCCTTTGTAAATTGAGTCCCCTGCTGCTATGGGAAAGCACGCCTTGGTTGAAGAGCGCTTTGGTTGAAGAACGGACTTCCGGAACGGAATAACTTCGTAAACCAAGGTACCACTGTATCTCCAATTACCAATGTTTGCTGGGGTTTATTTATGGACCGTCTGCTTCAAGCATTTCACCACCTCCTACATTATGGAGGGAATTATTGGATCCTTACAGAAAGCTAAATCTACAGTTTTAAATGCTTTATGAGTCTTTTAAAGGTTTGTGTTCAGGAAAGAAAGGTGTGGAATAGGGAATTATAATGTGTCACACAGCCTAAACAATGGAAAGTTGCTTTGGAATCTAAAGAATATGAAATATTTCCTAAGACTTGAGACGGAGTTTGATGCAGCAAAATTTAACATTATGAGCATATTAGACTCAAAAATGTTTGTATAGAAATCCACTGTCCAAAACAGATAAATGTTGGAGGTATTGACTTGTTGAGGAATATGATGTGGGGCTTGTTCACTGATATATTCTTCTTTGTACTAATACTGTTGCCTAAATCAATTTTGTATTGGTGAAATCCATAGCGTTTGCAGGTGCTCATGTTCTTGTAAATGATATTCTTCTAGTAATGGCAGGACAACAAAAAGAAACAAAGAGATTTATACTTTGAGTATAAATTCCTTTCCCAGATCTACAATCCCAGAGTTTCCTGTGAAGAAAGAAGAATTGTTAAATCACTCTGGAATCTGTAGCTCTGGGAGGGGAACTGAGTCTCCTAACAATTATTAGCACCATTAATAAACTACAGTTCCCAGAATTATTGGAGGGGAGAGCCATGACTGTCTAAAGTGATATCATGCTACTTTAGACAAATGGTGTCAATGTGGTCTAAGTCTCAGAGGTGGTGGCTCTCAAATCTTTTGCAGATTTTGGGATGCGGGTGGTGCTGTGGATTAAACCACAGAGCCTAGGACTTGCCGATCAGAAGGTCGCGATTCAAATCTCTGCGACGGGGTGAGCTCCCGTTGCTCGGTCCCTGCTCCTGCCAACCTAGCAGTTCGAAAGCACGTCAAAGTGCAAGTAGATAAATAGGTACCGCTCCGGCGGGAATGTAAACGGCGTTTCCATGTACTGCTCTGGTTCGCCAGAAGTGGCTTAGTCATGCTGGCCACATGACCTGGAAGCTGTATGCTTGCTCCCTCGGCCTGTAAAGCGAGATGAGTGCTGCAACCCCAGAGTTGGTCACGACTGGACCTAATGGTCAGGGGTCCCTTTACGTTTTTAAGGCTGCTGATGCCCACCTCTTGTCTGTGGATAGTACCATTGCCACCATACCAAAGAAGACGTGAGACAAGACAAAGTCCCCACTCCTGAGCCAACTACCAGCTGTATTCTATGACCATGCAGTGAGGCTCAAGGAAAATCTCCCCCATCCCCGTGTGCTCCTTCAGTGCACGAACTTGACAGGTGCACCATGGCCCTGTTGGTCAACATTCACCCCAATGTGCCTGCCAGGATGCTTTTCAGCAGCTAAATAATGGCTTCCTCGTCCCTTGAATTGCCTTGGAAATTTATGTCTCAAAATGTTGCTTTTCTTGAATGTGCATATCAGTTCTCATCCCAGATCTCAGCTTGTCTCACTGCACAGTGAGTGCTTTCAATTACTTCTGTCCCTCAGTAATGCATCTAGTAAAAGCCACAAGTGGAGGACAACCCACAATGGAACTTGAATAATGACCTACATATGTGTCTTGCCCACATATAGGCACAGAGAACAAGGGCACAAAACAACAGTGCATGCATTGAAATATGGGCCACAAATTTATGAGCCTGATGTGCTGCATTCTTGACTAGTTCAAAGCAATATTTCTAAACTCAGGGCAGGTATGCTTACTCCCAGGGAGTAAGACAATCAAAAGAATCACAGGAATCGCTGGAATAATTTTCCTCCAAGGATCATAGAAAGCTGCTTTATAAAGTCGGGTCACTGGTCCACCTATCTCAGTATTGTTTCACAGATCAGCAGCATCTCCCTATGGTTTCAGGTGTGGGGCATTCCCACACCTAAAGCAGATATACCATAAAACAGTGGTGGCCAATGTTATGTCTGCCAGATGTCCGTAGACTGCAGCTCCTACCATCTTGACTGATGACCATCGTGGCTGGGGGCTGATGAGATTTGTAACTCCTGCCATACGGGGTTTGTTTGCGTAAGCCGTGTTTTTACACTCTGATGTACTCTGGCGTTAGCCATGGTCTTCCTGGGACTCTCCTTCAGTTGACACTAAACCTTCTTGAGCCAGCATGTTGGACTGTGAAGTGGGAGATCTGTGTTGTAATTCCCATTCAGTCATGACGCTCACTGAGTGACCTTGAGTCAATCATCCTCTTTCATGGCTACTAGCAATGATGGCCAAGGTCCTCTTCCATGGTTGGAGGAAACAATGCTTCTGAAGAACAGCTGCTGGAAACTTCAGGAGGGCAGTGTGTTCGTTTGTTCAGATCCTGATTGCCAGTTCCTGATGGGGCATCTGGTTGGCTAATATGAGAAGATGTTGGACTTGATGGGCCTTTGGCCTGATCCACTAGGTGGCTGTTGTTGTTACATTTCATACTTGTCTTTCATGTCACAAGGCAGGTTACAACAATTTAAAGGCAACATTAATATTTAAACATAATATTACATAAATTTTAAAAACCCAGTTCAAAACAATTTAAAATTGAAAAAAAATAAGGTGAGTCTTGAAAATATACAGATGTTCAGCCTACAACATAATATCATTGAATGAAGACAGCGAAAGGGTGGGGAGATCTGACTTGGCAGACAAGTGGGATAATAATAGTGAACTCCCTTTTTTAGTGCATGTTTGTGTGTTAATGACTTTCCCTTCCGTCATATCATCAACACAGATCAAAGTAGCAGATAGACTGGAAACAACATATCTCCTCAAGAATCTTGGAATTGACCTACCTCAGGAATGGCAGTAAAGAGAGGCAAGTGAAGTTGAACACACTTAACTTTCTGATGGAGGTTGTGGGATACAAACAGGAGCAAAAGATCTCACAAACACCTGATGCATAACCACAGAGGAGAGCACTAAAGCACACCAAGCAGATTCCTACATCCTACACCTTCTAGATATTACTGAAACGCTTCACTTGTGACTTTTACCAACCTCAAGGAGAACAGTATTCTGGTTACAGCTTAGCTTTTAACGCAATGCTCAGGTGACTCAGCTAGACTGGTAAATAAAAAGTGTTTTATATGCATTGTATATGCAATATAACACTGTGACACCAGATGGTGCTGTGGAGTCCCATCTTTCCCTACTGGATTTCCCCGTATGAGTTTACAATGCATTTAACTGAATCACTTCTTGGACGTGTCTAGATCCAGTCCTTTCTCTACCCCTCTCCCATTTCCTTGACTCCCATTCACCCAGCCCTCTCCTCCCAAGCCCCCTTCCCAACATCCCAACCCTTATCTCCTACTTCTGCATTCCTTTAAGCCCTCCACTCCTTCCCTCCCCCCCTCCCCCCACCCCTCTTGCAAAAGAAGGGCTTCTGTTTTTCTATCCCTCATACTCTGCTATGCTGTACTGTACTGTAGTGCACTATACTAAATCACACCAGTTGCTTAGTTCTGAAAAGCCTCTCCGCCTAACAGAGGGGAGGGGTTGTGAGTGGGAGCCGGTTCCTGCGTCTGCAGGGGGGGGGGCGTCTTTGGCCCCCTGTGTCAGCTTACCTGGCTGCCGTGCCACGCCCGTAGGGCTGACTTGGGGGCAGGGTTTAGCTGCATTCAAGCAGCCGTGGCAGCCCCGTGCCCTCATTGTGCGCCCAGAAATCGATTGATCACCCGCCCGCCCTCCCTTAGGTAATATCTATGCTTCTGACCTTGCTCTGGGCTTTGCTTGGTTGCCCTGGCTGCCCGTGGGGGCCTGGTAGGAATTTGTACCCATTTGGCAAATTGACACCAGCCTCTTGGTTTTCCGCCTACCTCGTAGCAATTCGTCACAACTTTTGAGTATTGGCGGTTAGGCATTGCAATATGTTTCGTGTGTTGGAGGTCAGGTTGTGGCCATCACCTACCCCTCCCCTTTTTGGTATTCCGTTAAAGGAATCCGGTGGTCGTGGATCCTGTCCGATGCCCTGCTGGTGGCTAGGGCCATGGCAGGACCCCCAGTGACATCAGGGGAAGCTTCCAGTTGTATTTGCATCAACAGGCTCCTCCCACTGGCTGCTAACCTTCGAATGACTCCCTGCCGAGCAGGGTGGAGTCACGTATAGATTGTTTGATCCAATGCCTAAGCCAATACTGCTCACATGCTGTAACCAATAAAATTGTGGCCTTCTTTAGCCCATTAACCTAAAATACATGTGCCCCTGTGTCTTATTTATCTCTAGCTGGTGGCGGGTCCTCTACTCACAATAAGGGGACCTCCCACAGAGGGATTGTGCTTTCTCCAGTCAAAACCAAACAAAGTGTAAAGTGAAGTGGGCCACAGCCTAGCCCATGGTGAAAACCAACATCCTGGGTCAGGATGTTGCCAGCACTCCAAACATCACCGCTGGAGACCACACGCTTGTGGTGGGAGATGATTTTGTCTGGTTCATCTACATTTAAATTTAAACATAAATAATTCTCTTTGAACCCGGCTTCCACATTCATCATATTGTTGTTGTTTAGTCGTTTAGCCGTGTCCGACTCTTCGTGACCCCATGGACCAGAGCACGTCAGGCACTCCTGTCTTCTTCATCATATTACCAACACTTTAAATTGTTTCCATGTTATATTTCATCATTACAATGTAATGATACAATGTAATGTGAGAGGGAAAATGACTATTACTCATACTTAATCGAAGCACAAGGGATTCTAATTAGGCATTTCAGCTATGCGATGTTGAGTGCTTTCTGTTAGCCCTGTCCTATCTTGTTTCTGCCCTGCTTTCCTTTTTTAAAAATTCAAGCAACTCCATGAACGAAGAACTTGTACATTGACCACTAATAATGAACAATATGTTGTAGATATCATTGCAAATTTATTGTGCTGTTTTTGTGATGTACAAATGACTTAGAAGACTATTTATCATTTCTTATTCCTATGATCCCTGTTTATAAATGGTCCTTGTTTAAAAGGTTTATATACATTCAGGCTATATTTCAACATAATATTCTTGAATGAGGACAGTGAAAGGGTGGGGAGATCTGACTTGAAGGACAAGTGGGATAATAACAGTGAACTCCCTCTTCCTACTGATATTACGCTCACCTGTTGCTGATATTTCAATTGGACCATTAGTAGATGTCATGTACACTCAGGCATTCCACAAATGTTTTTTTGGTTCCTCCGTCAAAAAATGTGTTTGTCGTGACACTGCTGCTATGTTTGAATGACATTCATATATTGCAGTGATATTTTCATGTCAAAAATGCACACATGCCTTCACACCCTTGACTTATTGGCCTCCCCCAAAATGGTATTGATGTTTATTGGAATATTAAACCTTCCAAGTTGCTGATTATCACTTTCCTTAGCCTGAAAGTTGGTGTTTATACTACATTTTTAAAGATTTGCCTTGAGAGAGTCTTTAAACCTCTTTTGTTGACCACCAACCTTCCGCTTTCCATTTTTAAGTTTCTTTGGAAGACGATAATCAGGCATCCACACAACATGACCAGTCCAGCGAAGTTGATGTTGAAGAATGGTGATCTTTGCTTCTTCAAGTACACTGGCATTAGTTCGCCTGTCTTCCCAAGTGATGTGTCAGATTTTCTGGAGTCACTGTTGATGGAATCTTTCAAGGAGTTGGAGATGGCGTTTATAAGTGGTCTTGGAAATGTAGCTAGCCATAATCTAAATTGGTCAGTTGTTTGAAGGACTGCTGTCCTCAGGTAAACCAACACACTTGGGCAAGGAAGCCAACTCTCTTCCTAGTGGGGAACAGAATGTTTTTCCTTAAGATTCACTTAATTGATGTGTTTCCCTGGCTCATAACAAGCCAGAAGGCAAAATGCCTTTCAATACATTTCAGTGTTGTTCCTTCCAGTCTTACTCTTGAGGTAAACTTGATTGGATGCTTGAGATTCTTCATGGCTTCTGATCTGCACCAACTTGATCTGCACCTGCAAGACTAAGAGGTGAATCCAAATTCAATCCCTCACTTTCTGAAATTTTGAAAATTGCAAGTTTTTCTTGTTTTGAGAGAATATGGCATTTAAAATATCTGTTTAAATGCATTGTGTGTGCTTGAGTGGTGTGGAATCTGGAGTTGGAGCAGTCAGCAATAGTTTAGCAAAGGCAAAAGTCAATGTTCCTGGTATTTTATATCAGACCTGTTCATTCCAAACATTCTGTTCTGTCTCCCAGACACAAGGTGGTAACTGTGATGTTGAATATACACCTGGGAAAGAGTGTTAGGTAATCCTGGGCCTCTCGCTCCACTGGATCTCAGCCTAAGAACCTAATGCCTAGCCTTGACCTGGTACTGGACACAGAATCCTCAGAGGATGAACCAGACACCTCACATTGACAAAGATCAATGACTTTGAGTAGCATTCAGGATCCCATGAAACCAGTACCCAGAGCCCTCTAGGAAAAGGAAAATGCTGAAGGGCCCTTGGAGATGTCAGAGGAGGTACTGGATCCAGCCGCATACCCCAGTCTTTGAGAATTCTGGAGCCAACAGGTCCAGACTGAAGACTGCCAACATAGCACGTGTTTATGAATTCAGAATTGACACACCTCATGAGTAAGCAATCTCTAAAGTGCCATCTCTTACCAGCACTTGGTGCTATGGTATTGTGGGGCTCCTTAGGTAGAGGTAAAGGGACCCCTGACCATTAGGTCCAGTCGCGGCCAACTCTGGGGTTGCGGTGCTCATCTCGCTTTACTGGCTGAGGGAGCCAGTGTACAGCTTCCCCGTCATGTGGCCAGCATGACTAAGCCGCTTCTGATGAACCAGAGCAGCGCATGGAAATGCCTTTTACCTTCTCACCAGAGCAGTACCTATTTATCTACTTGCACTTTGACGTGCTTTCAAACTGCTTGGTTGGCAGGAGCAGGGACCGAGCAATGGGAGCTCACTCAGCTGTGGGGATTCGAACTGCCGACCTGCTGATCAGCAAGCCCTAGGCTCTGTGGTTTAACCCACAGCGCCACCCGAGTCCCGTGGGACTCCTTAGGGTTCAATTTAATCCTCCATGCTGTCTAACATCTTCATGAAGCTCCTGAGTGGGGTTATCTACTCCCCATGTGAAATATCTCAAACCCTGCAATCATCATCCGAGACCTTTCTCCATGTGCCTCCTCTGTGAGAGGTCCAGAGAGCAACAAACTTGAGTACAGGCCTTTTCTGCGTTCGTTCCCTGCTTGTGGAATGTTATCCCTAGGGATTCCCACATGCTGTCCTTGTTGCATTTCTTTAGGCGCCAGTTGAAAACATCGCTCCTGACTCACTACACAATCAATGATCTTTTAAACTTTGTGTTGGGGGGTATTGTTTTTGCTTGTTATTGTGGTACGAATTTATATATTTTTATATTGTAAAGTGCCCCGTGATCTTCAGATGAAGGGTGGCGTAGAAAATTAAGTATTTTTTATTAATAATAGCAACTCTCTAGACTTATTTAACTTACCGTATATGCAGAATTCATCATGCGAAAGGCTGGGCCGGATGAATCCCTAGCCGGAGTTAAGATTGCCGGATGAAATATCAACAACCTGAGATATGCAGATGACACAACCTTGATGGCAGAAAGTGAGGAGGAATTAAAGAACCTTTTATTGAGGGTGAAAAAGGAGAGCGCAAAATATGGTCTGAAGCTCAACATCAAAAAACCGAAGATCATGGCCACTGGTCCCATCACCTCCTGGCAAATAGAAGGGGAAGAAATGGAGGCAGTGAGAGACTTTACTTTCTTGGGCTTCATGATCACTGCAGATGGTGACCAAACTGCGGGAGGCAGTGGAAGACAGGAGTGCCTGGCGTGCTCTGGTCCATGGGGTCATGAAGAGTCAGACACGACTAAATGACTAAACAACAACAAGACTTGGGATTCCTCGCAACTAGTATTCAGAGGCATATTGTCCCCAACTGTGCAGGCGGAGCATAGCGATTGTGACCAGGAGTCACGAGAAGTTAATAGAGAAGGAATGTAGCTTAGTTAGTGAGCATGCCTATTGGAAGCCCAATGATAGATATTATGTCCATAGTCTTGCTGACAGATCTATCCTCATTCTCAAGTAACAATTCTCTGTTTATGGGCATGCAGAGCTTTGTTTGATGTTGTGACTAACTGATCACAGGTCTCCTCTCACCTGAGCATCCAGCATACTCCTCTAAACCTGGAAAGAAGAAGTTCCTCAGTCTTCTTCCAGCTGCTGGAGTGTCATTGGCCAATTGCTTCTGGATTCTGGGATGTTCTAACTTCAACATCAACAGGTGAGGTTCAACATGCCCCACATAAGCCTGTGGCTTCCTGGCATCTCACCGCAGAGTACCTGAGTGGAACATCCAAATCCAAGAACAGTTTGGCCTGAAGCTGGATGAGTCATGCATTCCAAACATGAGAAGCCAGCACCATTGTCTGGTTGCTGGGACATTCCATTCCCACTCCTGACAAGCCTCTAGCTGCCAAATGATGTACGGTACGTTTTTCATCCACCGCTTGGTTGGTAGAGGTTGTTCCTCCTTTTGGCCACTAGAGGGAAAAGGAGACAATGAAGTAAAGAATCATAAAAAGGTAAAGGGACCCCTGACTATTAGGTCCAGTCGCAGACAACTCTGGAGTTGCGGCGCTCATCTCGCTTTATTGGCCAAGGGAGCCGGCGTACAGCTTCCGGGTCATGTGGCCAGCAGGAGTAAGCCGCTTCTGGCAAACCAGAGCAGCACACGGAGAAGTAGTTCACCTTCCCGCTGGAGCGGTACCTATTTATCTACTTGCACTGTGTGCTTTCAAACTGCTAGGTTGGCAGGAGCAGGGGCCGAGCAAAGGGAGCTCACCCCGTTGTGGGGATTCGAACCACCGACCTTCTGATCGGCAAGTCCTAGGCTCTGTGGTTTAACCCACAGCGCCACCCACGTCCCAAAGAATCATAGAATTGTAGAATTGGAAGGGACCCCATGGGTCATTTATTCAATTTGTATTGAATTGGATAGTAGAAGATCACAGGACAGTTCACAATGTAAAATGGCACAAGAAGAGCTCTGCTGGATATGATAATGATCATCATCATCATCATCATCATCATCATTATTTATACCTAAAGGTCAGGGGTACCTTTACCTTTAACTATGGAAATAGAACAGATGGACAATGGTAAAAGATGCAGCAAATTTAATCTTAAATATGGAGCCCATGGAGGGAAGGAAGGAGGTCTGAAGGTACAAAAGAACCTTTTATTTTAATGTTTGAAATTGTTAAAGTTCAAATGTAAAAAAAAATGTAAAAAAGTAATAATTTTTAAACCCCCCTCCAAAAAGAGTGCTCATTAATGGTTCCATCTTGCTCTGGTGACAGGGACAGCCTAACTACTGTTGCCTATGCTCTGGTAACATCAAGGTTAGATTACTGCAATGTGTTATATGTAGGGCTACCTCTGAAGATGGTTCAGAAACTTCAGCTGGTGCAGAATTCAGCGGCCAGGTTGCTCACTGGAGCAAGATGGTTTGAACCTATTGCACCGATCCCGGTCCGACTGCACTGGCTACCACTTAGTTTCCAGACCCAATTCAAAGTGCTGGTTTTGATCTATAAAGCCTTAAATAGCTCAGGACTGCAATACCTCAAGGACCGCCTCTTTCCATATGAACCTACCTGGACCCTGAGATCATCTTCTGAGGCCTTTTTCGTGTGCCTCCTCCTCCAGAGGTCCGGAGGGTGGCAGTTCAAGAACGGGGCCTTCTCGGCAGTGGCTCCCCGTCTGTGGATTGCTCTCTGCAGAGAAGTTTGCCTGGCCCCTTCATTACACACCTTTAGGCACCAGGCAAAAACGTTCCTTTTTAACCAGGCCTTCGGTTGATCTGATTTACATCTTATGCCCTTTTAAAATGCTGGGGGGGGGGGGGGGTTGCCAGCGGGGTTATTGGGTTGATGTTTTTATTTTGATTATGTATTTTGTGATTTTATATTTTGATTTTATTCTGTGAACTGCCCTGAGACCTTTGGGTTTAGAGTGGTAGGTAGGTAGGTAGGTAGGTAGGTAAGTAAATAAATAGCAGGGTGTTTGACTAGATAACCCTCAGGGTCCCTTCCAACTCTACAATTCTATTTTATGATTCTTCCCACCTGTGATTCCTAGAAACTAGGATTCAGAGGCATACAGTGGAGGCAGAACATAGTCCTTGTGACCAGTAGCCACTGATTGTCTTCTCCTTCATGAGAAGTTAATAAGGAAGGAATATAGCTTAGCTGGTGCGCATGCATTTTTCATGCAGAAGGTCCATAGTTCAATCCCTAGAATCACCAGGTAGGACTGGGAATTTTGCTTGCCTGAAACCATGGAGACAGACAGACAGAAAATGAATATACAGTGGTACCTCGATTCACGAACTTAATCCGTTCCGGAAGACCGTTCTTAAACTGAAACCATTCTTAAACCAAGGCGTGCTTTCCCTAATGAGGCCTCCCACCGCCGGTGCCCTTCCACCATTCGGATTTTGTAGTTAGACCAAGGTAAAATTCCCAAACCAAGACACAACTTCCAGTTTTGTGGAGTTTGTAAACCAAATTGTTCTTAAACCGGACTGTTCTTAAACCGAGGTACCACTGTAGAGAAATCTGAACTAGATGGACCAATGGCCTGACTCTGTGTAAGGCAGTTTCCTCTGTTCCTATGCTTATCTGAACCTATTTAACTAACGTGGCTAATAGCCTTTCACAGCTGGAAGAAAGAGGATGAGGACAGAAGAATAGCCCTGCAGATGCATCAGGCCAGTGGCCCATCTAGTCCAGGATCCTAAAGATCTAACCTCACAGGGGCCCATCAGATTCCCTAGGAAATCTGCAAGCAGGATCTGACTCTCCCCACAGGGAATGTTGTAGGTTTTTTAAAGGGGCAGTGAAATAATATAAGCTATGTAGTCTTTAAATCATGGTAATCATGATTGTGCTATCCCTAGGGAGGCTTGCCTGGTGCCCTCACTAAACATCTTTAGATGCTAGGCAAAAACATTTCTCTTCTTCCAGGCCTTTGGCTAATTAAATGATCTATGGCCTTTCAAACCGTGTTTGGTGGGTTATTGTTTTAGTTTGTTATTACAGTGTGTTTTTATATTGTAAAGTACCCTGTGAGTGAATGAGACCCTGCCTTACCAACCTCAGTCTCTGTAGTCTCCCACATGTCTGCCTACAAGTCCAGGGGGTTGTCCTGCTTATCAGCTTCCTCATCCTTAGCCATCAGTGCCATCTTTGTAGGACACAACAAGGAAGAGAATGAGGACCAAACTAGCACGATCTTTTATATGCGGTGAACTTGTAAAAGGGTAAAAGAGTATTTGGAAATGATCCATAATGAACTGAAGAAAAAAAAATGTTTACAGTCATACCTTGGGTTGAAGTTGCTTCAGGTTGAGCGCTTTCGGGTTGCGCTCCGTGGCAACCTGGAAGTAACAGAACACGTTACTTCCAGTTTTGCCGCTCGCGCATGCGCAGACAGTCAAAATGATGTCACACGCATGCGCAGAAGTGGCGAATCGTGACCTGCGCAGACGTGGGTTGCGTTCGCTTCAGGATGCAAACAGGGCTCCAGAACGGATCCAGTTCGTATCCAGAGGTACCACTGTAAAAGTACTTTCCCCCTAAAACCCGGAGTCCTTTCTGTCGGGAATAATTCAGACTGAAATTCCCAGGTGTCAAAAAGGGTTATTTTTGGGCTTGCCTCTTGGGCTTGCCACTAGGAAAGTCAGCAGTTCGAATCCCCATGATGGGGTGAGCTCCTGTTGTTTGGTCCCAGCTCCTGCCAACCTAGCAGTTTGAAAGCACGCCAAAAAGTGGAAGTAGATAAATAGGTACCACTCCGGGGGAAGGTAAACGGTGTTTCTGTGCACTGCTCTGTTTTCGCCAGAAGCTGCTTAGTCATGATGGCCACATGACCCGGAAAAACTGTCTGCAGACAAACGCCGGGTCCCTCGGCCAGTAAAATGAGATGAGTGCTGCAAACCCACAGTCGTTCGCAACTGGACTTAACTGTCAGGGGTCCTTTACCTTTACCTTTACCTTACTGCGGCCTATGTTTTGCTAGCCCCAAAATGGAAAACAAGCGAGGTCCCAACCAAAGAAGAATGGCAACTTGTTGAAAGAATATGCGCAGCTTGCTGACTTAACATATATAATAAAAGAACAAGAAGAACATACATTTAGAGGAGACTGGAAAACGTTTATTAAATATATGGGAAATAATTGTGTATAGCTGAAAACATTGGCAGCATTAAGATGAATTCAACAGTGTAAATAAGTTTTGATGGATGCAATAAGCGCATACTGAATGGTATTGTTTTTGTAAAATATGCAGGGTTGTATGACCTGTAAAATGAACCATGGAAAGAGAAGAAGGGAAGTCATTGATATTTTAGGGATGTAAAAATGAGTATTTAAAATTATATATAGAGAGAGAGAGAGAGAGAGAGAGAGAGAGAGAGAGAGAGAGAGAGAGAGAGAGGTGCGGGGGGAACCAAACTGACCAAACTGACTCTTCCTAACTGACTCTGACACAGTCTACTGGAGGATTCCCAACCTTCTGCCCTACCAGTCCCATTGGGGACCAATAACCACTGCTGTCCAGGTTTGATGGGAGTTCCCTATAGTGAAAGCCGCTCCACTGACCTTTAACATCCAGGTGTATTCCTTTATCACATGTTGTGTTATTGAGTGATGGACATTCTTGTGTGGAATAGATTGAAACTGCCTGAGTTGTGTGTGTACCTTAGCTGTACTTCCTGAGTTTGTAACTGGATCGAAGAATGGTTCCTTCAAATCCATCAGGATTGGTTCCAAACTTTTCAATTTTATACAGCTTAGGAACCACCTAAAACACCCCACCTTTCCCCATGTGCAGCTGCCCAGATACTGAGATCATCAATTGACGTCCTCCTTTTCCTGCCACCTCCGAGAGAAGTCCATAAGCAGGTATGAGGAACTGGATCTTCTCTGTGGTAGTCCTCCATTTATGGATTTCTTTCACTATAGATTCCAACTTGGCTGCTCTTTGTCTTCCTTTTTGTACCAAGTAAAGATTTGTTTTTGGGGTTTTTTTTTAGAAGATTGGCAGCTGAAATTGATGGAATTTTTCAGAATTGGCAAGTTTAACAAGTAGAATTAGAGATAAGGATGAGGCAGACTTTAAGGAGTTGTGGGGAATGTTCATAGATTGTTTCTTTTTTAAAAAAAACCTACTGTGATCTTGTTAAAACACAAGTATGCTTTGAATAAGAACAGCAGGAGATCTTATCTGAGAAAATTGTGTTGAAGATAAGGTGTAGAATAACTATAATATGCAGCAACATTTGAAAATTTGGGAGAACCATGGAGGTGTGATGAATTATGACAATGGCAATGGGGTGATGGAAGAAGACACTGCAGATGTGTTGATTCTGAAATAAGTTTTATTCTCTCCCATGCATTATGGGAAATTGAAGCAAGGAAATCAGCAGGGGTAGGTGGATGAGGGAACTCCCATCCACCGCAAACACACACAGCCGTTCATAAGTTACATTGAAGAATGAGCCACACATTGAACATGCAAGCATAAAATGCCATTGAAGAATGAAAGGGCAAAGAAAGCAACATGCAGAAGTGTCCTGGGTTTAACATGTCGTTGTCAGGATGCTGATGCGAGGTAGCAAAGTTCGCTTTTCTTGGGTTGCTTGGCAAATGTTGCAGTTTACTTGATGCTTGGCAATGGACAGACCTGCTTCGTTTGCCCAATGCATGGAGGGACGACAATGGGGCACTTGGTCTGTGAGTATCCACCACCAGATCCACCGCTGCTGCAACAGACAGCTCCGCCACTGCCGCTGCTGCAGCACACAGCTCCGCCACTGCCGCCACCACTGCTTCCACCAGGCACAACAATGGTTTTCCCACTGCCGCCACTGTATCCTCCTCCACCGTATCCTCCTCCAATCACCTTAACCCCACCCGAGCTTCCACCACCGGATGAGCTACAACAAACGGCGCCACCGGAGCCGGACGAGCTGCAACATACTGCACCACCACGGCCGCCGCTAGCTCCACAGCAAACCCCTCCAGATCCTCCACCAACAACTATGGGGATCTTTTGCTGGCCATATCCATATCCACCTCCATATCCACCACCCATTCCACCTCCAACGCAACACCCAGAAGACTGGCCACCGCCGCCGGATGATCCACAGCACACTGCGCCACCGCTACTGGCTCCACAGCAAACCCCTCCAGATCCTCCGCCAACAACCATTGGGATCTTTTGCTGGCCACCTCCATATCCACCTCCATATCCACCTCCGCTTGGTATAACAATGACTCCGCTGGACTGTCCGCCACCGCCATATCCTCCACCTCCAGAGCAGCAGCAGCAGCCGCCCCTTGAACTGCCGCAGCAGCAACAGCCCCCCCTGCTTTGTCTTTGCTTGCTCATCTTTCGGCTTTTGTGTGGTGTGTTAGACCTGGAAAGTGGAGAAAGCATAGTTAATGCACACTGCTGGCTGCAATTCTCATTTCTCAAAGGGCCTCATTCTCATGGTGGTCAACTTGTGTCCAGGCTGCAGCACCAGGGAGTACAGGTGGTGACTGGCAGTGTGTTGGATCACATGGTTGAACGCATGTTTGTGTGTTGGTTTGTTTGTGCGTGTGTCAGGAAGGAGAGACAGTTCAGGACCAGTTTCCTTTCTCCATAAATGTCCATTCATTTAAACACTTTGATCTCTGAAACTGGCACTCTTACAGATGCCACATGGTACTCATTGCACATTTCTAAGAAATTGATATTTTAGTGTTGCACCACCCACATTTTGGAACTTCCTGACAGTTGATATCAGGTTGCAGTAGTATTTTCTGCCCCTGCTAAAATATCTTTCTTTAATCAAGCCTATTGAGAAACAATGATGGTTTAATGTGGCTTTTAGCTTATTGGTTATTTTAATTATCCTTTGAATGTTTTCATTAAAAAAAAAAAAGGAAAGTTTTACTGTTTCTTTTTTTAAAAAAACACAACAACCTTATTTTGCAAACAACTGAATAGCATACAAATTTTGAGACCTATAGGTAGGTAGGTAGATGGATGGATATGTTTCTAGCTGTCATGTAAACGTATCTAGCCAGTGCAAAAGATTTCCCCACATGTAGAACATAACCATGTTGTATTGATGTGCCATGTTGTGTTGTCAGATTGTATTGTCCTGTATCCCCTTTTTTCTATTTTGTTCCTACTTTGTGGTGATGGAACTCAGACACTGATTGACCACCTCCAGACTCACTAGCTTCAGCTGTTTCCTGTACTATCTTCCTTGAATCTGCTTCCTCAGTGCTTTCCTGGATGACTGCAAGCTAACAAGCCAAACCATTTATCTGGTGTAAATATGGAGGTCAGATAATGGGATAACATTGCTCCTCTACACAAGTTAAGCAGGTCTGGCCCTGCAAACTGTGCATGGATGTATAAGGCCTCTGCCGGAAACAATTCCTGGGTGAATTTTTGTCTGACAGAGTAATCCTTTAATTTAAAAGGATTAAAATGCCTTGAAGAAAACTTTGGCTTAGCTGCAGTTATCATTCAAGCAACCAATTCATCTGCTGTGACCTCTGCTGCTCAAGTACTGTCGCCCAATTCCAATTACAACAAGCTTCTGCATGTTGGTGGATACAGTAGCTACACTGTGCACCAATATTTCACCCCAAAGCTTAGCAGCAAATACCCAGAGAACAAAGGGAGAACTGTTGGAAATCAAGCCACTTCTCATTTGCATCGAGAAAAAAGTCCCTCTCCCTCCAATGATTGGAAGGAATTGCACACTGTATCAAAAACCCGAATCAACCCTTTGCAGCCTCCTACCCAAATAGCATTATCATTGCATCAGTGCATAGCTGAAGATGTTTCCATCCATTCAAAGGAAGGAGGATGATCTGAGCATTGAGCTTACCTTGTTTAGCAGATGTGCTGGAACGATGGAGAAGTCTCAATGGATTCGAATGATGAGCTTGGGGACCAGAGCTCCTCTTTATACCCATCTTCTGGCCACTCCCATGGGAAGTGAGGCACCCCAGGAATGGTGAGTGGCACAGTTACAACTCCCCTTAACTGTTGGCCTCATCAAACCCAAGATGTCAGACAAATCATGAGATCCATATCTCACTTTTGTATCACTAGTTATTTTACAGAGCGTAAACAGCTTAATGAAGGTGCTCCACCTAATGAGTAAGTTCCTGTGATGCTGCTTTGTAGCGGTGCCTCACATATTTGTGGGGGCTCCTGATGGGCGATGTATTGAAGGGTGGGCTTTGCTAAAGATAAGCAAATCAGAATATATCCTGTCCCAATTGCTACTGCACTTGTTTATCCATAAGTTGAGAGACTCTTGTGGTACAGTCCTTAGGGTGCTGGACTGGATGTGGGAAACCAGGGTTCAAATCCACTTTTGACAATGAAGCCCACTGAGTGTGACCTTGTGTTCAGCCTAACCTATCTAACAGGATTGTTGTAGGGGTAAAATGAGGAAGGGGAGAACCATGTAGGCCACTTTGAGTTCCTGGGGAAAAAGGAAGAATATAAATGCACTATATCAATCAATTAAGTCAGTTCTCTGTCATTTCTATGTTATTCGGATTATTATTTTTTAAATGTGTGGATTTGTTGATAAACACTCGTCTAAGTTCTACTTGGAGTAAACCTATTGGAAACCAGCAGCCTAAATGATTTGTGAAGGGATCTACTCTGAATAGGACTAACGTTGGGTTCTTTGTAGATGTGTACACACATGATGTTGAGCAGAAGTGGAGGCTTTTTATACACCTGTACGTCAGTTGGTGTGAAGGAGTGTACACTTGTTAGATACCCTCCAACATCCCTCAGATGAAAATAAGGACACTGGGCTTTGAGACGCAGCTTCTCTCGCTCCAGACAGCTACTCCCACACCACACCACTCCCCCTCTCCTACCTCCTTCCTCCCCTCCTTCCCCTTCCCTTCCCTTCCCTTCCCTTCTACCCTGCTCTCCCTCCTTCCAAGCCTTCTACCATTCCTTCCCCTAACCACTCCTTTCCCCTCTCCACCTTCCTTCCTTTCTACCCTTCTACCCTTCTACTCATCACCCTCCCCCTTTCCCTATCTTCTACCCTACCCTACCCACCCTACCCTACCCTACCCTACCTACTTTTCCAACCCTCCCCTCCCCAAGTGGGGGTGAATGGCATGTGTCCCCTTCCACCCTCATCAAACACAGGGCACAGAGAACCCCACCATCTTCCTCCTGTTTCAGCTTGCTAATGTGCTTGCTAAATGTGCAACACCTCTCCCAATTTTCCTGTTGGGTCCAAGCAACACACCCCACAAACTTTCATTCTGCCTCTCAAGTAGCTTGAAGCAGAGTTCCAAAAACCTTCTTACAAGCATCCAAGTGGCCCTGAGGACAAAAGAGGATGAAATAACGAGTTCCCTTGTAATATATCAGTGCTCATTTCTTCTCTTTCCAAAATAAGTTTTATCTTGAACAATTGCAAACACAATTAGTTAACCCTTCCCATGTTTCCTAAGAAGGCTTAACAATCTGAAGGACATCGTCCTCTTTCTATGCGCCTCCCAATGGAAACATGCAGACGGGGACAGATATACCCCTGCTTTAAGTCATTTACACACTGTCTTCACTTGTATATTATTTACTACAAAGCTCGATGAGTAAGCTCTTTAGCGACGAAATGTTGGATTACCGGAATGACATCTGAGCACGTTATATCACAAGTGGGCTCTTTATTACTGCGCTTGCTATTGTTTAAGATAAAAACTACAGTGGTACCTTGGGTTACATACGCTTCAGGTTACATACACTTCAGGTTACAGATTCCGCTAACCCAGAAATAGTACCTCGGGTTAAGAACTTTGCTTCAGGATGAGAACACAAATCGTGCTCCAGCAGCGCAGTGGCCCCATTAGCTAAAGTGGTGCTTCCAGTTAAGAACAGTTTCAGGTTCAGGTTCAGGTTTCAGGACCTCTGGAACGAATTAAGTTCTTAACCCGAGGTACCACTGTATTTGGGAAAGAAACTACTTTTGCCATTTTTATGGATGTTTATTGTTTGTTTACAGATAGTTGTCTTGGAGATAATATATGGTGTCGATTGCAATAGTCATTGCATCACCACCCTGTTCATTGTTCTATTGATGACCATTGGAGCAAGATGGAAGCCCAGAACAAAGGATGGCTCCCACTTTTATCAGTTTTACAAAGATACCCACAACACCCCTAAAATTACTTCATGCATACATCACAAATTGGGAGGGTCTGGTGACAGAAACATGAATGTCAGGTTTGCCCCCATCCTTCCCTTGACCTCCACCATACACCCAAGTTTACAAGTTCCTGGTTTCCCAGGCCAAGTTAATCACACCTCTTTGTCCTTACTGAAGACCTGATCCATTCTTGGATGGTTTGCCATTCTCCATGGGATGACTGCCTGTCTGGCACCCAGATGCCAGGATGCCAGTGATTATCTCTTGTGCAAGAGGCTGCTGTGTACATGATCCCAGGTTTCATGGATTATGGCTGCCCATATCACAGACTCTCCCCTTAGTAGCTACTCCTTTCTTGAACAGAACAAAGTTGGAATGGTGCAAATCCATACTGGATCGTTTTATATGACTTTGCAAAGTTTTCTGTATAGTTAGAGCTATGGTTTTCCCAGTAGTGATTTATGGAAGTGAGACTGGACCATAAAAAAGGCTGATCGCCGAAGAATTGATGCTTTTGAATTATGGTGCTGGAGGAGACTCTTGAGAGTCCCATGGACTGCAAGAAGATCAAACCTCTCCATTCTGAAGGAAATCAGCCCTGAGTGTTCATTGGAAGGACAGATCCTGAAGCTGAGGCTCCAATACTTTGGCCACCTCATGAGAAGAGAAGACTCCCTGGAAAAGACCCTGATGTTGGGAAAGATGGAGGGCACAAGGAGAAGGGGACGACAGAGGACGATATGGTTGGACAGTGTTCTCAAGCTACCAACATGAGTTTGACCAAACTACGGGAGGCAGTGGAAGACAGGAGTGCCTGGTGTGCTCTGGTCCATGGGGTCACATAGAGTCAGACACGACTAAATGACTAAACAACAACAACAAAAGTTTTCCCAGTGAGCCAGGACGTAGATACGTCCATCAGTGAATTGTCACATGTGATAATGTGCAGCAAAAGCGCCTTGAATAGATAGGAAAGACTGTGATGAAGTGCTCTGTGGGGACACCTGCAGAAGTGATTGCGCCAATCTTGGTAGTCTGGTTGTGTGTGCACAATATCTGCTGGAGTGGCACCCCCCCCCCAACCTTTACATAAATTCCTGCAACAAAATGATGTAGCTGTTTGAACAATGCTTGCATTTGAGCATGACCAAGGATGGACTGGACATGTGAAATGCCATTTTTTTATGTGACCTGATGGGTTTGAGAGACATGGCAAGGCAGGATGAAGATAAGAGAGATGGGGTGTTGTAGAGGCAATGGAACAGTCTACTTTAAAGGTAAGCTGATAGACAAAAATGTTGCTTTTCATGAGTGTGCATGAGCAATGTAAGCAATGATGTGACAAAATAGAACCAATTAGCTTAAAGTTCTTTGTTTGAGAAGATGTTAAAGAGTCCTTTGTACTATGACATGGGCACCTATGGCACCCACCTTACCTGGTGGGTGAGGGATTCTACTAAAGCAGTGAAATAAAGATCACCCTCTTGAGTGCCTTCAATTTGTTTAGATTTGAGCTCTGTCTATTTGTATAGTCTCACCTGGAAAACAGACTTTGGTGGGTTGGGAGAGTTCTCACAACAAAAATATCCCCTCCTTCAGAATTCTGAGAGCAGGAGTCTCCAATACGACTTTAACAAAGACAAAAAAATGTGTGGGTGATTGAAACACCCCCCAAAAATGCACACACCCCTGACTTTCTGGCCTTAAAAAAATGGTATTAATGTGGAATATCAAAACACACACACACACACACACACACACACACACACACACAATTTTTAAAGTAAATTTTCTACATTGCAAAATATTCATTTAAACAATCTTAAATCAGTGACTTCTCTTCTATTTCCGTGGTTCATTTTGCATACCAAACATCCCTGCATATTTTACATGAACTAAACCAGTCAGTACCATTGTTACATCCATCAAAACTTATTTATACTGTTGAATTTATCTTAATGCTGCCAGTATTTTCAAATGAACACAATTTTCACTCATATATTCAGTAAACATTTTCCAGTCTTCTTTAAATGTATATTCTTGTTCTCTTATTCTATATGTTAAAACTGCAATTTGTGTGTATTCCATCAGTATAAGTTGCCATTCTTCTTTGGTTGGAACCTCGCTCGTTCTCCATTTTGTGGGTAACAAAACACGGGTCGCAGTAGTAGCATACATAAATAGTATTTTTTGACACCTGGGAATTTCCCTCTGAATTATCCCCAACAAAAAGGACTTTGTTTTTTGGGGAAAGGTACTTTTAAACATTTTTTCCAATTCATTATATATCATTTCCCAATAATCTTTTACCCTTTTACAAGTTCACCACATATGAAAGTCTTTTGATGACTATTCTCCAGAACATTTATCCTCCTCCTCATCATCTCTCATTGGATTCCTTACCTGCCCAAATTAAACGACATCATATATTTTTCTTTTCTTTTTTAAATGCCACTTGATACAGCCCAAAAGCTACATTTCCTCTTGTAGAACTTCTCAGGAACCACATGCCAATGGTGAGCAGGGTGAGAGGCAAGACTAGATGTGAATTTTACAGACCCAGTATACCTGAAGGAGAGTCTCCACCTTCATCGTTCATTCCAGACCCTGAGGTTCAGTACTGAGGGCCTTCTGGTGGTTCCCACCCTGCGAGAAGTGAGGTTACAGGGAAGCAGGCAGAGGGCCTTCTCGGTAGTGGCGCCCATCTTGTGGAATGCCCTCCCATCAGATGTCAAGGAAATAAACAACTGTCTGACTTTTAGAAGACATCTGAAGGCAGCCTTGTTTAGGGAATTTTTTAATGTCTGGCATTTTATTGAATTTTTAATATTTTGTTGGAAGCTGCCCAGAGTGGGCAGGGTATAAATAACAACTTCTTCTTCTTCTTCTTCTTCTTCTTCTTCTTCTTCTTCTTCTTCTTCTTCTTCTCCTTCTTCTTCTTCTTTGTTCTATAGGCTACATTCACATCAGAGGTTTTCTACACATACACAATTTTACCATCCGAAATAGCTTTTGTTTTATCATGGACTTCGGTTGTTGCCTTTATCTGTTAAAATTAATTGATTCATTAATGTATTTAACAAGTAATGCAGTTAATGCAAATCAGATGGATTGAATGGATCAAATAAATGACTGGCTAGACATATATTTATAGTGTTATAGATCCCAGATACTAGTTGGATTTTGATTATTTGGGATATGAAGGGAAAATCCAACCTGCCAAGAAATTCCTCCTCTAGCCTATGTAAAACAACCTGGCTGAGTTAAGACCATTAAGGAAAAATAAAGGGCCATTGAAAGCCATTGGCAATGCCAGAGAACTGTCCCTCCCTGCCGTTCTGGGGTGTAAAGAGGGAAAGGAGATTTGGAAGTTTCCTAGAGTAACTGGGTATGATGTCATATGAAAAGTTTGTGGCCTTTTTAGCACAAGGCTCGGGACAGGAGAACAAAAACAGAATGATCTTGGTTGGTTGGCTGAAGGCAGGTGTGGATACTCCAGAGCTGCACCGCTGTGAGGTACAACCCGTCTTGAGATGACCATGCTATAACACAGGCATAGGCAAACTCCGGCCCTCCAGATGTTAGGGACTACAATTCCCATCATCCCTAGCTAACAGGACCAGTGGTCAGGGATGATGGGAATTGTAGTCCCAAACATCTGGAGGACCAGAGTTTGCCTATGCCTGCTATAACATCTGCCAGTGGCGCCAACTCTAGGGGCCCCTAGGAGTCCTAGCGATAAGGTTACCAGATTTTTTTCAATGAATCCGGGGACACTTTTCAACTTCAATGAATTTTGTATGGGGACTGATTTGTAAATCTGGGGACTGTCCCTGGGAAACGGGGACGTCTGGTAACCTTATCCTAGCACCTGCAACGTTTTATTGTGGGTGCTCAGACCCACAGCCTCCCCTACCATCTGCTGTGCACCGCTGCTGCTGTTTAGACTGGCAGAGGAAGGGGGGTTTGCGGGGTTCGGTGCGCACTGGGTATCAACCGTGAGGGCATGTGACATCACCGCACCACACCCATCCCTCTCACCGTGCGGGCAGCACCCCCAGATGCTTGCCGCATGGGTGGCAAGCTGTTAGGGACGCTCCCTGCACAGGCGACTAGCAGAGTCACCCCCACGCTCGCCACATGGGTGGTGGGTGGCCAAAGATGCTCGCCCTGTGGGTGGCTAGCCTTGCCCCATGGGCCAGCTATCCCGGCTTCCGGGTGCTGGGACACGTATCTTCACCCCTGGCTGTGTACCACTGCTGCCACTACCCCCACACTGCTGCTACACTGCCACTGTGGGGTGCCTTTACTGTGAAATGGGAGCCTGCTACAGTCTCTGGAAGGCCCACCAGTGCTTGTTGGGGCCTCTGTAAAGCCTGATGAGGCTCGTTGGGCCTTCCGGAGGCTGTGGTGGGCCCTGTCATGTCCTCCCATGGCCCCGTTGCGCCTTCTGGAGGCCACAACAGGTATCATCAGGTCTTCTAGAGGCCTTGATGGGTCCCACTGGGCCTCCTCCTACCGTATGATGTCACACTGTGTGCTGTGTGTGACATCACAGGCGCCTCTGACATCTACAATCCCTTTATTCTAACTCAAGTGTAAAGATGTGAATAAATCAGGTTTCAAACCATACGTTGACCAGGTGTTTATGAAATATTGGTGGACATCAAATTGTATAATGAGTGCTCTCCATTTGGAATGCTAAGCAACAGTCAGTTACAACTCCCCAGTTGTTTACAGATAAGCATCTTCTCCCTGTATTCTTAACAATCAGGAAGAACTTACTTCCTCAACCGCAAAAGAAACACTTCCCGTATCTTGGACAGTTGCACCACTTAAAATTGCAGTGTAAGCTTCTGAGAACAGGGAGCTGCCTTATCTATTTGTTATCATGTTTATTCCAACTTCACCACCGCCTCTTCCATTGGATTTCTTACCACTCCTTCATCATAAAGACACATGGTTAGGCTTGCCATACGCCAGGAAAATTCCTGACATGTCCTGGTTTTCAGGTGTAAAAATGGCATCTGGGAGAATGTTGCCAAATCAGAAAAAAAAGTCAGGAAATACCCAGATGTATGGCAACACAATGGGAAAAGCAGGGAAAAGAGCTCCATAATTTTGCTGGTTTCCTTAAAAAAACCATTCATCAACTTTGTAGGTGTCAGGAGTTTTACTCCTTGAAATATGGCAACCCTATCCATGGTGATTTCCATGATTTTAAAAAAAACACAAGATTAGAACCAGTTAAAAGAATATATATACAATCAGAAGGACAGCTGGAGTCATATATGCAACTTGGATGACTATTGAAAAGTATCCAGCAAATTCATGGAACATAAAGCTATCAATGAAGACTGCCAACATAGCATGATCAGTAGTTGAAACTTTATTTACATTAGCCAATGGCGATAGCAACAATAAAACATTACAGTGTACGCAGAAAGGGAAATTTGATATAAGAGCACAAGTCCTGAATCAGCAGTCAGTTAGTGGCCCTTATTCTGATTGCCCCTGCTATGAAGCTAGCAACCTTTGCTGTTATCCACTCACTTTGATCTGATGGAAGAAAGGACATTGTGGCAGTGGTTGAGCGCCCTGGGATGGTTAGTACGAGTGGGGTGATGATCTCGTTCCTCAGGTCTTTGTAGAGAGTGCAAGACAGGAGGACATGTGCCACTGTTTTGGTGCTACCGTCTCCACAGCGGCAAAGACGTTTCTCAGGCAGGATTTTTTGGAATCGACCCTCAAGTACTGCAGATGGCAAAACATCCAGGCTTGCATGTGGAAAAGCACGTCTGTATTTTGGGATAATAGGTTTGTGCAAATATGGGGCCAGAGAATCAAAATGGAAAGGTGGAAAATGAACATACCAAGGGCAGAATTTCCTTATAGTGGCCAGGTTGTTCTGATGCCATTATTTGCTTTAGTAGGGCCCACAGTGAGTAGGTGTTGAGGGGATAGGCCACAAGAGTGAAGTTTTTGATAGACAGTTTTAAGCCAGGCACCTTTATGCCAACATAGCATGTATATACAGACTCAGAGTTGCCAGATGATTCGTGAGTAAGGAATCTCCTTGCAACTGGTATTATGGTCTAAGAGGCCAGAGTAAATAAAGTCTCCCTCTGGACCCTCCTCACTTCTGGAAGCAAAATGGGCCTCTGGCTTCCGGTGCTTCTGGATTTTGCCTCTGGATGTCAATGATTTTGAGCTGGACTGATTCTCTGCGCTTGATGTTGATTTGTTTGGACGGCATTGCGTCTCAAACTCTGCATTTTTGGGTGAGCCTATTGCCAAAAGGTTTATACTTTCTAAGACTGGGAGGTTAGCCCCTAAGTATACCTGAAGGAGTGTCTCCACCCCCATCGTTCTGCCCAGACACTGAGGTCCAGTGCTGAGGGCCTTCTCAAAGGAGTCTCGAAGCAAGTCATAAATATAAGACAGAATAAAATGAAAATAAAGCAACAAGATGAAAAAATACTTGCAATAACACATAAGATAGAATGAATGAACCTGCAGCGAAGTCAAATAGGGTCCAGTGCCAGGGCCTTCTGGCGGTTCCCTCACTGCGAGAAGCGAATTTACAGGGAACCAGGTAGAGGGCCTTCTCAGTAGTGGTGCCCACCCTGTGGAATGCCCTCCCATCAGATGTCAAAGAAATAAAAAACTATATGACATTTAGAAGACATCTGAAGGCAATCCTGTTTAGGGAAGTTTATATGGATGGGGTAGAAATAAATTATTATTATTATTATTATTATTATTATTATTATTTCCATATGAGTGTGGTATTCTCCCCACTGTGGATGGTCCTATTAGGCAGCACAGCACTTCTTCCAATCAGAACTGGTTGGTGGCCCTTAAGACTTGTGCCAAACAGTTTTCACTTCAAGTTCTCAGAGTTGCATCATTCTGGAGTTTTGTAGGAAATGTAAAATGGTGGTTTATTACTGGGGCGCCACAGATTTCTCACCATTAGTGGGCCTGTGCCAGGGCACAGGGGCCCTAGCAGGTACCTGACAATGCTGGGTTCTGATGGTTCTAGCCCTGTAGATCATAGTCCTTGACAATGTGTCATGACTTGTACAGGCTTGGCCTAACTGCCGTGTTAATCACAACAGAACCTTTTGTTAGGAGGTATGACAGCCACGATGCACTTGCCTCCATGTGACCTTGTCACACGTTGACTTGTTACTTGTTTTAATGTAACATGATGCTCCATAGTTCGGAGCAAGCTTGGTCAGGTTCCTGATGATCATCAGATGATGATCTGTGCTCTGGATGATGATCACGTATGCTATGCACCTGAACAAGCAGGTTGAGGCCAAGTGACAATGGGCAGACACGGTTCAATCCATGAGAACCTCCAGTCTAAAATGACCCAGGGAAGAGGAGTGATGGAAGACCTCTCTTTGCTCTGAGACTTGGTGATGGACCATAGCTTTAGTGGTAGAGCATCTACTTTGTTTGAAGGAGATTCCAAGTTCCATCTCTGATGTGTTCAGGTAGATCTTCAACCCTGAAGAGTTACTGCTGGTCAGCAAAGACAGTACCAAGTAGATTAACCAATTTTCTGGTCCAGTGAAGGGCAGATTCCTGTGTGACCAAGTGGTTAACTAGAAGTTAAATTACATTCTTCTTGGTCAGGCGAGTGAGCTGTGACCATCCAGATGCCACTCCCAAGTCCCATTATCCCTGACCATTGGCTGTTCTATCTGAGGCTGAAGCTGGGCTCCAAAAGCATTACATTAGTCACCCCTGCTCTAATCACTAGACCACACTGCTGCTCCTCATTGTTCTAAACTTTCCACCCAGACCTTGGGTGTTTTATGTGCCATCCCATTGAAGGAATCAGGTGTCTTGCATTAAAAAAATAAAAATAAACTGGGTATGGGCTCACCCATGCATACATCTTACTATTGACTTATATTAAACACTGGAAATGCTTTTGATTCAAGTAAGGTTTGAACATGCACCTAGTCGTGTTTCATTTAGTTCCTTGTGGCTTCCATCTTTTTTATGTGGAGCTTGGGCAGGAATGGTGAACTCCCACTTCAGTTGCCTGATCCTTCCCCACTCCCAAAGATCAATTTGGGCAGTGGTGTCAAAAAGAAAATAAAACACACCGGAAGATGCCTTTTGTTGAGCCAGGCCCTGGTTCGTCAAACTGTGTATTATCTATCCTGATTAACTGTGGTTCTACAGGGTTTAAGGCAGAGGGACATTCCTACCTGGAGATACCAGGGGTCAAACATTAGGGGCTTTCCTTATATTCTTATTAACCTGCCTTCCAATTTACTCTGCAATTAAGAGTCTGTATCAAGGGTGGGAAACTTTTGACCCTCCAGATGTTGCTGAACTGTAAGTAGGGCTTTTATCAGCCAGAATTTACTGGAACTCAGTTCCGGCACCTCTTAGGTGGGCACCATTGCCATTATAAGAGAACAAGAGAGGTGTTAGTTGTAAGTTCAGGCACCCTTTTTTCTAGAAAAATAGCACTGTCTATAAGTCCCATCATTCCTGACCATTGGCCATGCTTCGTGATGGCAGTTGCAGTCCAATATCATCTGGAGAGATTTTACTTTCTTGGGCTCCATGATCACTGCAGATGGTGACAGCAGTCACAAAATTAAAAGACACCTGCTTCTTGGGAGAAAAGCAATGACAAACCTAGACAGCAGCTTAAAAAGCAGAGACATCACCTTGCCGACAAAGGTCCATATAGTTAAAGCTATGGTTTTCCCAGTAGTGATGTATGGAAGTGAAAGTTGGACCCTGAAGAAGGCTGATAGCTGAAGAATTGATGCTTTTGAATTGTGGTGCTGGAGGAGACTCTTGAGAGTCCCATGGACTGCAAGAAGATCAAACCTATCCATTCTTAAGGAAATCAGCCCTGAGTGCTCACTAGAAGGACAGATCCTGAAGATACTTTGGCCATCTCATGAGAAGAGAAGACTCCCTGGAAAAGACCCTGATGTTGGGAAAGACTGAGGGCACAAGGAGAAGGGGACGACAAAGGACGAGATGGTTGGACAGTGTTCTCGCAGCTACGAACATGAGTTTGACCCAACTGCGGGAGGCAGTGGAAGACAGGAGTGGCTGGAGTGCTCTGGTCCATGGGGTCACGAAGAGTCGGACACAACTAAACGACTAAACAACAACAACATCTGGAGGGCCAAAGTTTCCCCACCTCAGATCTGCATTGAATGCTTGCAGTTTTTTCACAAAGCTATCAGGTTGGCTACAGCGGGTGCGTCATTAGAAGCTGGTGTATATATAATTGAAATAAACAAATCAATGTTTGCTTGTTTGTATGTTGTGGATAATTGTTTGCCACAATGGGCAAGTGTCTCTCTCTCTCACACACACACGAATGCCTTTCTGCATGTATCTGAAACAGCTCTACCCAAGCACAAGATGGCGCTATCATCATTGTCAGGGAAATCCCAAGTTCTTTCTTTCTTTCTTTCTTTCTTTCTTTCTTTCTTTCTTTCTTTCTTTCTTTCTTGGAGA